TAGAAATTAAATGACGGTTAATTGATTGATGTAATGTAAAAAAAATTGTTAACTTTTCATTCTCGTTTACGATACATTTGCGATAAATTGTCACTGTGATGAAATTGTATTGCGAGGAATTGTGTTACGATAAAATGTCCGCGACGAATTGTCGCACTATGAATTGTCCGCGATGAATTGTCGGGACACCCTTCCTTCCAGAGTACTGCTTCTGTGCGAGGAAAATGCGTAATATTGTTTAAATATTATGTGGTATGTTGAACTTTATTTGTATAGGGGGCTGATTCGGGAGGTTGGGATTCAGAATCTGAAACAAGTTTTAATATGAGCAGTTCTGAAGATTCTCTTGTAGAAGCGGCACTTACCCAATATAATATTAAAGTAAAAATCACCAATATAACAGATGTGGTAAATCTCTATTCAGATGAGGAATTTAGAAGCCATTTCAGAGTTACTAGATACTCTTGTAAAATAATAACAAGTGAGGAGAATTGATTAATAAATTATTATGCAATCGAATATATAATAACCGTAGACCTAGTGAGGAAAGAAGTCAAACGGGATGTGAAAAAAGTATCATCCACAGATGCAATCTCTTCATTTTACTTAACTGAAGATCAAAAGCACTATAATTACGAGCATTCGTCAACCAGAATATGTGTGGAAAATGCTTTTGGTTTGCTGAAGGGTCGTTTTATAAGATTGCGAAGGTTTGATAATATCAAAATTAATAGCATTGTTAGGTATGTTATATCTGCTTGTGTAATACACAACATTTGTACCATGCACGATGGAGGTCAAGATTTTGAAGATTTATGTTTGTGAATGTTTTCTCTTTTTATTATATTATATTTAGTATAGGAACTTGAACCACTATTACCTAAAAATACTAACATAACAACAAATAAAAAAAATAACAATTCCATATAAAGTATAAGTAAGTACTAAATATAGTATAGGAACTTGAACAAATATTACCTAAAAATATGAACATAATAACAAATAAAAAAATAACAATTCCATGTAAAGTATAAGTAAATACTAAATATAGTATAGGAACTTAAACAAATATTACCTAAAAATATGAACATAATAACAAATAAAAAAAATAACAATTCCATGTAAATTATAAGTAAATACTAAATATAGTATAGGAACTTAAACAAATATTACCTAAAAATATGAACATAATAACAAATAAAAAAAATAACAATTCCATGTAAATTATAAGTAAATACTAAATATAGTATAGGAACTTAAACAAATATTACCTAAAAATATGAACATAATAACAAATAAAAAAAATAACAATTCCATGTAAATTATAAGTAAATACTAAATATAGTATAGGAACTTAAACAAATATTACCTAAAAATATGAACATAATAACAAATAAAAAAAATAACAATTCCATGTAAATTATAAGTAAATACTAAATATAGTATAGGAACTTAAACAAATATTACCTAAAAATATGAACATAATAACAAATAAAAAAAATAACAATTCCATGTAAATTATAAGTAAATACTAAATATAGTATAGGAACTTAAACAAATATTACCTAAAAATATGAACATAATAACAAATAAAAAAATAGCAATTCCATTAAAAGTATAAGTAAATATATTATTAGATGATTTTTTAATTACTGCGTGTACTACCCCGCCTCGTCTAAATATAGTATAGGAAATGTTTTTACATATGCTTCAAATGCTAACAATTTCCTTTCTTCAATGTCATTTTTCTTTTCTAATATTTCCAATTTTTCCCTTTTTCTGTTAGCTGTCTTTAATTTCCGTCTCCCAAATTTTCAATTTCCTTTCTTGCAGTTCATTTCTCTCTTTCATGTAATTCTGTAGCGGACTCACATATTTTTTGTGCGTCCTACACATACATTTACTGTATATGCTGGGGAAGACGTTGAAGGTTTGTTTCCTAAAATTTCATCTAGTCGCTCAAAGTAAAGAAATCGAGATGCCCCACGACCTGCTTTGCTTTTATTGTCTTTAATAATTTTATATTCGCTACGTCATTTTACCTCGCAAAGTTTACTACTCTTTTTTCCGCCTAAAGTTGATAATTCGGTGCTTATTAACTTCCACACAACTTTTCGTTTTTTTTGCACTATCAAAATTTTCCTTGTTAGTGATTAATGCTAAAATTTCCTCGTTTGTCCAATAAGCCCGATCCTCTGCATATGTTTCTCCCGAGATTTGTCTCTTCTACTTCATGCAGCTGGGTAGAATTCTCCCCTAACTGCTCACTTGAGCTGTACAGCAGTAATCTTCTGAAAAAAAAAATTGTACTTACTTTAAAGATTTAAAGATTTTATAAACAAAATACTTAATGGTCATTATCGTTGCATCTAAAAATGCAATCTATGTGTGAAATAGTTGGCAAACCTCCAATTTGGTGTAAATTATTAATGTAGTCAATTGTAAAAGGATCATTATCTACAAAATGCAATCTTCATTAGATTTGAAAACCTTACTTGTCAAGTTAAAACATAATTCCTGTTCAGAAGCTGGTAGGTACTTGAATTAATAACAAACTTAATTTCTACATTAATATAGTCGGATACACTGCTTATAACTCACTTGTTAAATGTCAGAAAAAAGTAAACGAACAGCCTAAGGTTATGATCTTGTTTTCTGGGGCCATGTTTACTGAAGTGATTTTAACTGTATCAACCAGCTATTACAGTTGTTTGGGTAACGTAGATGTCACATTCGCTAATGTTATATAGAACTCTTCTTATTAAAACGTTATTTCGTCACCGTTCATTCCATTATTTGGGTTGTGAAATCGCCCAACCCCAATAATTTCATATTCAGGCTGTAGCCGTGTCTAGTAAATAATTAAGTAATGATCGAAGACCGAAAAAATTGATCTTTATTACTAATACAGATACCGAAAATGAAATCACGTTCGCGGATAAGCCCTTAAAATCAGCGTCTTTATACAGCTGCACGCGATATCTTTCATACATAAACATGAAAATGATCTGCTGTACTTTCGCAAATGTAATAATTGGATTGCGAATTTAAATTTATTACTTGTGTTTCCACAACACTTATTTTAAAAGTATCAATTTAGAAATGGAGTGTATGTACCTACTTATTATAGCAAATGCCGCCTAGGTATATAAAAGGTATACAGGAAACGTTGAGAAATGTAGCACCTTTAATAACTGATTCATTATTATTACTAATTTGCACTTATTACCCGTGAGAGAATTTAATTTATTGTAATGTCAGTCGAAATATAAATGCGAATTTGTGACATAAATTCAATTTGCTGTGGTTGTAGTTTTTCATAGCAGAAGTACGTACAGAGGTTTACAAAATTACGGATTTCAATTGACTAAAATTGCATTATTGCGATTGTAATTGGAGTAGGATGGAAATTTGGACCAACAGTTTCTGTGTAGGGTGTAGTTTCAGTAATACATTACAATAGTTATGTTTTATCGTGAAACCCCATCTTTCAATATGTTCTCTTGATAAAACCCTTCTTATCCAAATCCCTAATACACTAAGAAACTTAATAAGTATGAATACGTACGGATGCGAATGACAGAAATGTAAAACAAATTTTTTTTCCGTTAAAGGAAATGGCTTTTTACTTTTGAAATTTATTAATTCAACGTACCCATTCAAACATGTTAGGCTTTTTTATGTAGTATCGATTTAATACCATTAATATTATAACATCAGCAACCCAGTATTCTTTAGTGCGAATACGTTGAACATAAATACGAAAAAGGCAGTAATTTGGAGGAAAAAACATTTTTTACTAAGATTGTGCACTTAGAAAATATTTCCTTGAAATATTTGTGCTCAGTGCAGCTATGATCAGCCATTTGCTGAGACTACTAATCGCTATACAAAATGTACTTAAATTGCTTTGTATTTTCTAATGGGTTAAGGTTAGACCGACTAGCCCAATCGTAAATAAAAATAAATTAAACAAATTTAGCCAACGAGCTCCTAATAAATGTCTTTTTTTCAGAAAAGGCGCAGTTTATCACGGCTGCTCTTCCACTTAACTTGATTATAGTGACATTTGCGACAAAAAAAATAAAACGGACAGCAAATATTTCTTATACTTTATTTTAAAGGAAGGTTATGAAAGTATTTTTAAATCATTAGGTATTGAATTATACAATTTAACAAATGAAATAGGAATGATCTCTGAAAAACTGTTGTGCATAGGTATAATGAAGTTGTTCGAATGCCTGATATTGCGATTGTGGCAGTCTTTTCTATGTACAAATAAATTTCTTAGTAAAGAATCCACCTGCAAAATTTCATCGTAATCGGTCCATTCGTATTTGAGATATCGTGCTAACGGACGGACAGACACCGCAAAATTATAAACTCGCTAGGAGCTCGTTAATAATGACCTTCAACAATGATCCGTGGGGTGAATTGCTTCGAACTTTTGAACTAATATTTAAAATGGTAGCAAGCATATAGTCACCCCTTTCTCTTAAAATGAATTTGTGAGAAATAAGGTTAGAAAAATCTTTTCGGATATATTTACGGATGTAAAATATAAATAAACATTTAAACACAAAATAATCAATGCTTGTCTCTAACGCCTTAGGATTAACCACATACAGTAGAATCGCGTAATTAGGCCTCAAACTCATATTTACCTTCGAGATGAAAGGCAAACCCTCACAATTAGCACTTAAAAACCAGCGCGATTTTTTTTATCTCTTTTCCCAACGAGCTACTACGCGATTCCTCTTATTTTCGATTTTTTCAGTCCCCACTCACCAACACGCCGGTGAAAATCCAATGGAACAAATGAAACTCATTGAATTGTGCCCAACTAGGAACCTCCATCACCCTCACTGACTAATCGAGATTTTTTTACGTGTAT